AGTCATATTTGTAGCATGCCCTGTCTGAAAATTTGTCTCCACTTCCCCAGATGTATCAGGGCTAATTATAACACATTTATCTGGATCATGTTGTTCACTTTGCCAGGCACCAATGTTTTTAGATTCCTTTTATGTGTGTGTATGTGGGGGGGGGATGGAGGGTTATTCCTCACCAAGACATTTTCTGGCCCCTTTGCATTAGTCATTTTTATGCCTTTTTCAAGATAAACATGATCCAGTGTTGTTGACGGCACTCAGATCTCAGGCTCCATCATTTTCATGGATAAAAACCAGCCAAAAAAAGATTGGGGGGGGGGAGCGGCGAGGGGGCGGTGAACCATGTAGTGTCTGAACTTATTACAGTTGGTGTTATTTACAGTCCTGAGACAACCAGCCCTCACTGTGCTGGGTTCCTGGGTCAGGGCAAGCAGGCTCAGACTGGGGGGGGGGGCGATTTGGGTGGCCCACATGGTGGGGGCTGCTCCACTGGTGTAGCAGGTCCCACTCTGTAATTATCATGTGTCAGCCAGCCAGGGGGCCCCTGGACCCCCCCACTGGCCAGCCGGAGACTGTGAGCTGGGCCCGACGGGGGTGTCTAAACAGCCTTCCTGTGCAGATTAGAGGCTGACTCTGGATGAACATCTGGGCCCTCAGGTGTGCGGATACAGCACCCTCACGCCGCTGAGACAAAGGACCCGCCTGTGTCTCCGTCTATGTGGGAGCTCTGCACCAAACAGGACCGTCAGCTAAAGAACACAGAGGAAGGCAAAGGTAGCTGTTGATAGTTAGACTGCCATTAGATTAGGTTCACGTAGCCTCACATATATCTGCCACCGTCACCTGCACGCCTCCATTCTTTGTGGGAGTTTCTTGAGCAAACTTGTCTGAAGATGCAGTTTAGCGTCTTTTTTCACAGTATTTCACAGTAGTATGATGGCAGTTTGTTTATGCCTTAGGAATCACACAACTCCACACCTTTGCCATCCTTAAACGTGAAATGGGTTTGGTTTCAGTCAGGCCAGACCAGCTTTCATCCATACAGAATCACACAGTGTTTCTAACAAGGCATAACATTAAGTGGGGGGGAGTCCTTGAGAGCTTATGTTTGATTTTTCTCATTGATCATGAACAGAGATATGGGAAGGGGGGGGGGGGGGTTGAAACAGGGAATTGTAATGAGCCTGGTGGTTGGGGGATATAGATTGTGGAGATACCCTGGAGACAATGCAGAATAACGGGGTGTGATAGTATGTCTGCTGGAGGGAAAACATCCTTAGATTGTCCTTGTAAACCAGTTTCCCAGCTTGATCTGCAATTCTGCCCGTTAGCTGCTCTGGCACCAGGTCGACGAGCACTTCAGCTGATTTGTTCTGAGGATGAGCTGCTCCTCCCGTGGACATTCACGAACAGAACAGAAGTTTCCAGAATTACTCCAATACAGAGGAACTTCAGGAACACAATGTTGGCCACAAAAAAAAAGAAACGTCTTTCACTCAAACTTAAAAAAGAAATTCAGTGTAACACAGGAAGAGCTAGGCATGGCAGAAGGATGGACACATAAAATCAGAGCATAAAATAAAGTCAGGAGCCTCATGATGAGCAAAATAAACGTGGATGTACAGAGAAGATGCGTCTCAGTCTCGGGAATATTGTTGCCATTGTGCCAGGAGGCATCATTTGTGTCTTTAAGGATTGATGAACATTTTCCAGAAAATTATCCCATTAAAGCACATCCACACCAATTAGAAATGGAGGTTTATAGCCTTCAGTGGCCTTCAGGTTCTTGTTGTTAGATTATCCTACTGTACCAAAAATGCTACAGGCAGCAGTTTGCAGGGCCAAGGTGGATAAATATGATATCCATCCGCACCAGTTCCTGTTTGGGTCTGCTCATGTTCCTCATTTGGCCTTATGGAAATCCTCTGCTGCAGGCAACATCCAAACAGTAAAACAATAAACTAAGGTAAAAAGAAGGACAAAGGATGAAATCAGGGCCTGGGTAACAAATGGAGGTCTATATCTGAACCATGGGGTCTGGCATGCAGGGAAACAGAGCCATTCGTCAAAGTCAGGAGAAGCCAGATGATGACGATGGCTTGGCCTAATTAGCCACCACGGCCTTCGGAACAAAGAACAATGCAGCGCATAACAATAACTCCATCCACGGCAGATAGGGCCGCGACCACAGCAAAAACAACAGCACCGCTCTCTAGCGTGTTTTTTGTATAAAAGACTAATGGGCTCTGAAGAAACAGTGAGACTCAATCAAAGTATATACTCAAGAGGCCAAGAAATATGCACTAGGTTTCTCTTGGAGAGATCTGGTTTATTTACTTTGTGAGAGTATCAGTGAAGGTTTGACCTTGGCCCATTAATAATGAGGGGAGGAGGGAAAGAACCGGCTAGAGACAATGACTCCCTCCTGCCTACCCCATCCAGCAGACCCCCTGCCACGATTCTCTGTGAGTATCACCTGATTGGGCAGCCAGCCGCTCGTGCCAGACATCCCCTTGTCTGTCTCGCCTCCCAGACGCCCAAACCTCCCCCCCCCCATGCACCTATGTATGGGGGTGCGCTATGGGATTCTTTGGGTTTCGAGGGATTGGGGGGGGTCTTGTTTGGTTAACCTCAGCCGCGATGCAGGACGGCATTTGATTTTGAGAACCTGTCAGACTTTCGTCTCTGATAGGATGGGGCTCAGGTTCAATAGGGAAGGGGCTAGAGGGATATGGAGTGCATGCCCCCCCCCTCCCCTCAGGCTCTTTCCCCAGCCTCGCCTCCCATTTCCCAACATTTAAAAGCTCATAACTTCCATCCCGGTGACGACATTTCTTTACATTCGATGCTCTCGCCATGGACTTACAGCTGGGGTTATGCTCAAAGTGGCTATCACAGAATTACCATGGCGATGCCGTTGGGTCCATCGGCTTGAGTGTCGAGGGATACATGGATTTACCGTGTGCCACAGCTGTCATGTGTAAGAAAGCTACCAAGAGCAGGTTTCCAGTCGGAAGGGTTAGCATTTGAACACGGCCCTCAGCCTCCTGTTTGTAAGCATTGGAAATATCCTTCCCAGCATTTTCACATGTTGGGAAAGTCCTCCCAGTCTGCCATCCTCGTCCGCCATAGCAGGTCCTCCCAGCCATTGCAATTCCACACCGCCTGTCAAGCAGACAGACCCCTGGGCCGTGAGGCGGCCGCACTCCGGCTCACTCTTAAACCTGGACCCCTGCTCCTGTGACCCCGGCATGGGGGCCGCCGGCTTGACAGAAAACGGGAAGCCGCTCTCAAATTAACGTGTAATGTCTCTCGGTGCCTCACAGCACACCCAGAGAGAGGAATGCGTGGGGAGACACGGTGAAGTCCGTCTGGGGGGAAACAAGAAACGTTCGTCACCGGGCCAAAACAAGCAGAAGTTTTTTATAAGGGGGGCTTTCAAAAGAGGTGGAGAAATCTAAAAGAGAAGAGGTAAGGGGAGAACTGGGGGCAGGGGCTTATGATAAAACCCTGAAATCATCTGAAATCTAACACGGCTACCAATACATATACATATACCTCTCTGCTGGAAACCTCCGGTGAGTCTCCACCCAGCCACCACCAACAGACAGAGCAAAGAAGTGATGTAAATACATCTATAATATAAGCAGTCAGGAAGTTAGGTGTGTAGTTTATTGTTTTTATTGTTTATTTTTCACAAAATTTTGGGTAGTCTGGTACCTTGTTGAGGTTTAAAGCGGCAGGATACTCATAGGTCTTGAATCTTTAGCATTGGGCTTTGAAACTTGAAAGCACTGGAGTCTTTCTGCCTTTATGTAATTGATGTTTACGCCCTTGCAAGTCCAGCCGAGGCTTACCGCAGTTCATTAATTATCTGCTGATCCCAGACCAGCTGTGTTGCACATTCGACTGTCTTATAGTGGTGGAAGCTCTGGAGCTTCGAAAGACACCATAGTGGGTGGGCTGTCAATCATTGGGTAAACCTACTAGAGCCAATAATGTAACTTGCAAGAAGTGGGTTATCCCACTTGATTATTGACAGTGCATGGTAATCTGCCTGCTTCTCCCACTGCTACTGTCTAAGCTTCTTCTGATCCTCGACCAGCACCCTTCAAATGGGCCTAGTTGTTTGAATCCACCCCCAGGGGCCAGGCTGAGTGCAGGGGCAAGGAGCACATCCATCCTCTTTGGAGTCCAACCCACAGCTCCCAGAGTCTGAAAGAAAGCAAATAAAAAGAGCGATGCCCAGTCCCATAATACAAGGAAGTCATTGTTTGTGTACGGCATTGTCGTCTTTAGTGTTTTTATAAAATCAACCGAAAAAATGCTACGGGACAATCCGCCTTTGTGCTGTCCAAATCTGATGCAAAACGAGGCAGTTTCGTAGGCAGAGGCGAGCGTGACAGAATGGGCATACGCTCACAGACAAAGCGCTTTGTCACAGGCTGCGCCGCCCACCCCTGCCCTGTGTGCTTTCGCCCATCTTCACGTCAGTCCGTTAGGGTTACCTGCCGGAGAGGCCCCCTTCTCCTCAGCAAGCACTGGGGCTCAGGCGGAGGTTTATTGTCGCAGGTTTTCAGAGCGGAACCGTCCTGAAAGGCGTCCCCTCAGGAGGTGAAAGAGAAGCCCCTTCCGCTAAACAAATCAGAACAAAACCATCTGATTGAAACCATTTTCTGTCGGCGCTCATGTGCCAGGCAGGGGTGATGAATGAACAAGGTCCGCTCTTCTGGTGATACACCAGCCAGTGTGCCTGCCACATCTTGTTTGTTTCTCTCTGTCCTACAACCCACTAAATAATTAATTCCTCCGAATCACCAGTTCACACAACTGGATTGTTGAATATTGAAGAGGAGCATAAGATAGTTGCGTGGTGGTTCACTAAGACTCAACAGAAGCCACTGTTCCATGAACAATGCTAGGAAGAGCAAAAGAAGCTAAACAGATTTGAGGATGAAATGTCACCACCTACGTGTCTAACTCTGCTTCTTTGAACTTTTCAGAAATCGGGAACAAGCTTGTGGCCCAAGAGGCCACAGGGAAGCAAGCCACCCTGCGCCACTCACCCGGCCACACGGGGGAGCCCCTCTCCAGTAAGGCCCAGCACCACGTCTGCTTGCTAAGAGGGTTTACCTCCCTTTCCAGGTCCCAGCTAACGAGGCACAATCCCAGCACTTTAGGGAATCTCATTTGGCAGCATAAAACCACCCTAAGCAAGGAAAGTTTATCCTGAGACTAAATGTATCATATTACTCGTGTTTCTAGAATGTTCTGCTACTGTTGTGTAAGAACACTTATGTAGGTAGTTTAAAATAACTTGTATAGATCTCCACGGGTACAGGTACAGGTTTACCTGTACAATGTGATGAGCACGTAACAGGATGTTACTCAAATGGAACATACCTGAAACATACAGAAAACACAACATTAACTCTTTGATCTTTCAAGAATTTCCCCATAATCAGAACCTCTCAGCTGGGATCCAAACTGTTAGTCCAGTCTCTTTGTTATTACCTTCACCTGAGCCCATGTGGTACAGTAGCAGTCAAATGTTTGGACACACCAAGCTGCCTACATAAGAGAGTGATATTGTTGTATCACATGACCTGGCCACCTGACCTAAACACATTAGAGATGGTTTGGGAGGAGTTTGACCAGAGAGTGAAGGTACTGTAAGGTGGCCAGTGAAAGCTCAGCATATATGTGGGTCCTCCTTCAGGACAGCTGGAAAAGCATCCCTGGAGGCCACGTCATGAAACTGGCGTAGAGGGGACAGTAGGGGCAGCCAGTCCCTGGAGGAATAGGGGTTAAGGGCCTTGCTTAAGGGCCCAACGGTGGGATTCCTCTGTAACACAGGGAGTTGAACCGGCAACCTTCTGAGCCCCAACCCACAGGGTTGAACCCCCCCAACAAATTATAACTTTTTTGTTTAACACTTTGTTGGTCAGTACATAATCCATATTTGTAGTTTTTATGCTTTTTTTATAATTATTCTAAAATATAGAGAATAGTACAAATGAACCTTTCTATGGGTATGTGTGTCCAAACTTTTGACTAGTAGGGTATGTTTGTGCCCTCAGCTGTTCAATGGTCTCTGATGCTGAGAGCATCGCTTGCGGCCATGGTGGCAAAAAAAACACATTTGTGTGGCTTGCCTGTAATCCTCCACTGTCCAAAAGACACACAAAGATATTTTGCTCCCCAACATAAACATCCCCCTGTAACCAAACCTTCTCTCTGTCTTCCTGTCCCTCTCCCATCCTCCTGCCTGCTGCAAGGCTGTTTGAACTGCAGTCGGATTGTAGCACTGACAAACCGACTCAGCTCACTGGAAGCAAAGGTACGTCATTTTCTCGCTCGTGGACTTCTGGCTATGTAACACAAGAGAATATTAACATGGGCACATGGGACTGGGTCTCATCAAAGACTCATATGACATATTAAGAGCATCTATTATTATTGTCCTGAATAACTATATAACATCTGGATCCTCCAGGTCCAGCTGCTGACCAGTCCTAGTGCCCCGTCTCATCACCACCTACAGGGCAATGGGGGTATAGCAGCAGGATCGTCCTTGATGGGGGCAACACCAGCTAAAGGGGCTCCTGGAGCTCAGGGGCCTGTAGGTAGGTGCAGATTTCTCCAGGTTTACACCACCCAGTATTATATGAATGCTTGGGAACATGCAGGGACTCTTGTGGGCAACTTAGTTCCTTTTAACAGAAGAACAAAGGAACCCTTTCTTACTGCTTTCCCTAAACCTCTATCCATAGTTAGACCTTCTCACCATCCCACTACCTGTCTTCATCTCTCTTTTCTTCTTCTCTTCAAGCCACTAACAGTTGGCAGATAGGTAAAGTAGTGCAAGTTTCTCAAAGCAAACACGTCTCAAATGAAAGTCCCCTGGAGCTGAGCTCAGGATTGTGTTTGAAACAAGAGCCTTCTGTCTGTCAGCAAAGCACATTCGCATCCGGTCTCCCTTTGCCACTAACACAAGTAGCACCCAAGCTTAATTGCACAGCAAGTCTTATATATTCTGACATATGTTCATGCATGCTAAAGACTTACAGCTGCTAGGTAAGGCTTTCAAACGTATTTGGCCTTAATGCAAGCTTTTGCTGTTAAAGGAGTTGTTATTGTACTACACAAGAAAGAAAGGGTAGAACTAATTGGTTAGTTGAGTCAGTAGCATTTGCTATAGAAATGTGTTGCCAGCATGTTATTAGAGTAATTCCTGACTTGCAGGTAAACAGGCCTGTTTATTAGTAAAAGATTTGAGTGGCATTTTTTGATACAAAGAGTCAAAGGGAATATGGGGTAAGGAAAGATCAAAATTATAGGGGTGATTTAGGCCCTTGGATGTCCATTTGTTATCCCGGTCACCATATATTCAAGGCAACCCATTTGTGATGCAAATCAGCGGTCACTATGTTTGAGCCACAATGCCAGAAATGATGGTCTGCCAAGGTCGGTAGAAGATGCTGTACGGCAATACCATCACTCTGAGCCTTAATCCATTCCACTCGGGCAAGAATGTCAGCCAAACCCAACCGGAAATGGGTATCTGAAGCGATCCAAGAGGTGTCTGTCTCCAGACAGCTAGACCATTTTGCTACGTGCCTGTGTAAGGTGACACTGCCGCAAGTAGCGAAGCCCCAAGAAGTCAAACCCTTTAAGTCAGACCTGCTAGAATTTTCCATCAGTTGCCACCTTTCTCTTGATGCCTGGCTAGTCTGATGTATGACATAATTTGTGTACAGTACTACTGGATAAGAATTGCATATACTTCCTCCAAATGGTGTGTGTTAATCTGCCCAGCACCCATAAAAACGATGTTCAAGCAATGGACTTTGTCCAGAGAGGAGACCTGCAGGACAACTGTTACCGCTGGGTCACCCGGTCAGATGTTATGCTGACAACACACTGACTAACAGTCAAATTGAGATGAAAGGTCTGATTAGTCTGAATGAAAGATGATACTGCTTATTTTCCACAATTAATCATGTCAAATGGAACAGAGGTTTTACCTTATCGACTGCTGGCACCATAATATCCTTTCAATTAAAATTTAAAGTAAACATTAAAATAAACAGTCATATTGTGTAATCTAAACAGTGCAAGGACAGGGTCTCTGGTGGGCAGGTGGAGTTTGTGTCTATTTCCTGGCAGTAATTAATAGGACAGCACAGATTTGCCATCTTTTCCCATCTTGAAAACACTGTGTGTCTCAGACCCTGCTGGAGCTCAGCTGGGAGAGGATTGTCAGATCCTAGCCTGAAATCTCTGTTTCTCACAGGACCACAGGGTGAAAGGGGCAAGGACGGCACCGCTGGGCGAGATGGTGAGCTATGAGCTGTAATTCCTAGACCTCAGCTCCTATTCTAATAAATGTTGTCAGCAGAATCAGAGGACCACCTGTAGAGGGTACGCATTGATGCCACTTCCACGGCAGATCACACCCCCTCAGACGGACTGAGTGGCAAAACATGCTGTAACACGGCTGATTTTAGCCGAGGAAATTGATTTGTTTAAATTAAAGGCAGATCAACACAACCGGAAATCGTAGAACTAATCAAAGGACCAGTGGACCATGAACGTTGATACGTGGCCAGGAATAAGAACATAAGAACATAAGAACTATACAAACGAGAGGAGGCCATTTGGCCCATCGAGCTCGCTTGGGGAGAACTTAACTAATAGCTCAGAGTTGTTAAAATCTTATCTAGCTCTGATTTAAAGGAACCCAAGGATTCAGCTTGTACTACGTTATCAGGAAGACTATTCCATACTCTGACTACACGCTGTGTAAAGAAGTGCTTCCTTAAATCCAGTTTGAAATGTTCTCCCGCTAATTTCCACCTATGGCCACGAGTTCTTGTATTTTAACTAATGCTGAAGTAACTATTCGGTTGAACAGCATCCAAACCTGTTAGAATCTTATAGACCTGGATCACGAATAAGGTTTATTATTGATAATTTTTAATAAATGCTGACATATATTTTACAATTACACAGAATAGTAATGAATGATTCTAAATATTTAATTGATGAACAGTCAATGCAGTAAATAACATCCGATATGATTTTACACAAATATCCAACATAATTAACACAAAATGACAATTGTAGTCTGTGAAAAGAAAGCTTCAATTTCTTGTTAAATAGATTTGTTCAATCGCATAGCAGATCTTTGCCATCTTAGATGTGTTTTCATGGCATTCAAGCTGATCGCTAATGCTGCCAGTTTTTTTATCAGGCAGCCTACTGTTACGTCATGTGCATACCCTCTATACCTTATTCAATGGACTCAAGAGCCACTAAAGACATTTAAATGGAGGTAGATAGATTAAACAGAAAAATCACCTGTTGTAACATGGACTGACTTTCTGATGAATAACAGTGTGATAAAGACATGGTCTCTCACTAGGGAAGCCTGGATCCCGGGGTCTGCCAGGTCCCAGTGGACCAAGGGGTCCCAGGGGAGAGACAGGTGTCAGGGGACCCATCGGGGCTCCGGGTTCGAAGGGGGTTTCTGGTCCAGCAGGTAAGGATTCATTATTCTCTTCAGCGTTTCAGATAGTTACAGTCATCTGAGGTAGTGGCAGACATCAGTGAACAACCTAAGAAAAGTCAACAGGAATATGAGAAGACAGTAAATAAGTACTTCTAGGTAACTGACTGTCTATGTGCCACCATACAACCTTATTGAACAAATATGAAAGTGTGAGGGTATACACCTGCTGGGACCTTCAGTCTGCATCACAAATATGAGAATGCCCCAACCAGGCCTGATTTTCCCATCACCCTGACAGGAAGGGGGTCTCTGGAAGTGTGGCTGAAAAAACAAACTTCTCTGTGTCCTGTTTCCCCACATTGATGTAGGAGGATTCTTATATGAAATGCACAGCTCAGCTCAGGCCCACCCACATTCTGCAAAGCTGAAAGAAACATGTTTTACGAAAAAGAAAAAAAAATACATTTGATGTGACTTTTTGAAATCAGGTCTTAAATTAAATAGGTAGTCTTGTCAAAGCCACTTTGAATGCAGAATTACAACATTGAATAGACTGTCACTGGTCTCCATCATGAAAGCCCTGTAAGTCCGCTAATATATTGACATACTTTAAAGGCAGCTATACCTCATCATAGCAGAGCACATAGTGTGACCTTTATGACCTAAATCCTCAGCAGGGGTGCTGTCATAGGGTAAATCAAATTTAGAGCAGTCATTTTCAGAGGATAGCATGTGAATTCAATCTGAGCTAAACATAAGCTACATACACAGAACCTTATTTCTTCCATATGTATTCATCTTTAATCTTTTTTTTTGTCTTTGGTGAACCCAAAGGTTGTTCTACCCTACTCTTTTTTTTTCTCCCCCCACTGTTCTTTAACAGAAAGGCAAACAAAAAAATAGGATTTCTTGATCTTGCCCAAACATCTTGTGATGTGAAACAAAGCCACATCTGTGTGATGTGGCCGAAAATCCAACCGAAGAGTCTGATGAGATGCGGAAAAGCAAAACAGACACAGCCCTAAAAGAAAGCCATAAAAACACCATGGGGGGTGGGGGGGCAGAGCCGCATCCTTCTACAGAGACGCGACCGAATATAAGCCGTGCTGCTTTTCCTGAACCAGTGAAGGGAGGAGACGCCTGT